GGGCCGCCGGACGAGGAGCGCGGCATGGTCGAGGTCGGGTACGGGATCGACCCGGCGTGCCGGCGGCGGGGACACGCGCGGGCGGCGCTGCGCGTCCTGCTGGATGTGGCGCGGGCGGATCCGCGCGTCAAGGTGGTGCGGGTGACGATTCAGCCGGACAATAGCGCGTCAATGGGCGTGCTGCGGGGATATGGGTTTGAAAAGGTGGGCGAGCAGTGGGATGACGAGGACGGTTTGGAGACGATACTGGAAGTGGCCGTGCAGTAGAAGCCATGGACGAGTGTACAGGGAACTGTGACAGACAAGCCATAGCTAGTCAGTATTGTGCAAAAGACATATGTTGTCCGAAAACATAAAAAGGAATGCACTAAACGAATCAGATTCATGGTTTCCATTATTCGTCAAGCCCATCACGCAACCGGACCGAGAACCAACTGCGCTCACAAACACACGCAACCAGCGCACAGAACGCAACAAGAGAAAATCAGAACATTTCTACTTTGCATCATCCTCAGTTGATAAACGTTCAGTGCGTTCAATGCCAGCTTAAGGTCAATTTATTCGTGCCTGATTGTCAACAACGGTTGCCTGGCCAAGATCAGGCAGCTGAATAAATCATCTCCACCACGACTTATAAGCCACCTCCCTGCCCCCAACACCACATTCACATCGTCATCCTTCTCAACCTCTCATCATGGACGTCTTTGTCCGCTGGCGCCCCCTTGTCGGCGCCGAGACTGTCTCTGGCAGCGTCACCCACACCTCCCGCGCCGACCCGTCCTCGGCTCGTCTCGCCATCACCATCGACCGCGGCCTCGCACCCTCCGACAAGCCGTGGACCAGCGCCTCTGCCTTTACTCGGGTCCTGTCCGGTGACACCTCCAACGCGGCCGCCTACACCGCCGTCGCGCAGCCCGCCGTGCCTCGGGTGCTCGCCGGCGGCTGCCACAGCGTCTTTGCCTACGGCCATTCCGGCAGCGGCAAGACGCACACCGTCGTCGGCTACCAGGACGAATCCGGACCAGGTCTGTGCCTGGCGGCCGCGGAGGAGCTCTTTGCGCACATTGCGACGCTCAACGCCCGCGGAGACGAGGGCCACCCCGAGCTGGCGATTGGCCTCGCCGTGTTTGAGCTCCGGCAAAAGGCCGCGTTTGACCTGCTAAATGACGGCACCAAGTGCCATATCCGCGAGGGCCCCGACGGCAAGGTGCATATCCGCGGGGAGACGGAGACGCTCGCAGACGGCAAGGTGCGGGTGCGGCCCATTGTCAAGCGGCCGTGCTGGAGCTTGGCCGAGCTGCGCGACACGCTGCGCGACGCGCTCGCGCGCCGCGCCGTCGGCGCCTCGTCCGTCCACGACCAGAGCTCGCGCACGCACGCGGTGCTGGAGCTGGAAATCGTCAACGCGCCGCTCATCGCGGCGCGCGCCGCCGTCGTCGACCGCCAGTCGGAGCTGGTGCCCGTCGGGAAGCGCGCGACCGACGTCGCCGTGGCCGAGCAGACCAAGGGCGTGCTGCGAGACGCCGACGGCACGTACCGGCCGAACCCGGGGTACGTGGTCAACCAGGCCCTGATTGATGCGGTGGATGCTGAAAAGGCTGCCTGTGAAGCGCGCGTGGCCGAAGCGGAAGCCCACGTCGACGCCATCCGCAACGGCACGGACAAGGCCGCATGCTTGGGAGGCAGAATGGTCTTTGTCGACCTCGCTGGCGCCGAGTACCAGCAGGACGGCAACAACAACATGGCCGGCACGGCGCAGACGCCTGCGGAGAGGCAGGAAGCAAGGCAGATCAACGCGGATTTACTGGCGCTCAAGGAAGTGATGCGGGCGTGGGCCGCGAACAAGCCGCGCGTGCCGTACCGCGCGTCGCCGCTGACCATGGTCTTGCGCGAGACTCTGGGCGACGCTGCTCGCCACGGGGGCGGTGGTGCGGGCATGGTGGTGACGGTGTCGCCGGCGACGGTGCATCGTACCGCGACGCTCAACTCGCTCAAGTATGCGAGTCTGATGGGCACGGTGCGAGGGGCATGAGCAAGGGTCGGGGCTTGTCTGAAGGGCAAGTGAGAGATGGGTGGGAAATGGGCAATGGGCGGCGCTATTGTTGGGAAGGGGGGAGGGGAATGTATGGGTTGGTTTTTTGAGCTTCACTTTTGCAAATTGGCCCAGCCACCCAACCTGCATCCGACAATACACGATTCACAACAGCCAAACCCTGCAGCTTCAATGGCAGCCACAATGCGCTTCCACAATGGGTTTGTATTCTTACAATAGCAACGAATCTACCACCATTCATCTCTCGCTTTCATCACCTTGCCCTGTTCTCGCCATGGATATAAAATCCTTCTGCCTCCGTTTCGCTTCTCCTCGCCCTTTCGAGCCATCGTTGCGAAGGCAGAACACTCCTCATTCCTATCCGCGTCCAATTCCCTGTTTTGTAGCCATTTCTTGCTAAAGAATTCGAAACAGACAAAAAAACGCACCATTGCTTCTTCCGTCTCACCGCCATGCCGTACCTCAGCCGGCGCACCGTCCGGGGCCTCCTCGCCCGCTCGCGCACCCGCCACAGCTCCTCCTGCCAAGAATCATTGCCCGCGCCGTGCACAGCCTCGGTACCCGGTAAGATCGAGTCGCCCGATGCTCCGACGACCTCTGCTTGCGCACCTGCGGGCGTAGCAGCCGCCGCGTCCCTGACGAGCAGCACGCACGCCGTCACGGCCCGCGAGGGCAGCAGCAGCAGCAGCAGCAGCTCGCCGCCGCCGGTCTCGCTCGCACTACTAGGATCGCAGACCACCGGCGAGCAGCAGACGCACAGCTCGGAAAGCACGCAGCCATCAAGCACCGCCATTGCCTACTTGGAAGCCGGCATACCCATTACCGGCACCGACGCCGCGCCGCCGCCCGTCTTTGCGCCCCTGGTCAGCGGCCATGTCGCGACGACCGACTCGCCCCCGTACGAGTTCAACGGACTGTTTGCCGTGCCGGCGTCGAGCTACAACCCGCCCATGACGTCCAGCGCACCGCCGCTGTACCAGCCGCGCGCCGCCGAGGACGAGGTGTTTCCGCAGCTCGCGTTTACGCCGTTTCACCGCAACGCGCTTGCGGCTCGCAGCGGCGAGCAGGTAGAGCACGAACTACCCGGCGATGTACGTCTTGCACCAGTCCAATATCCTGGTGTCAACCCACCACTAACGCTTCCTAGGACCGCTTCCCTAGCTTCGCTGGCTCCCGCGTCGTCAACGGCTCCTGGCTCAGCGGGTAACGTTCCCCCTTGCTCCCTTTTGCTCCTCGCCCCCTCGCTAACTCGTGCCAAGCCGGTTCGAGCCTTTCACGGTCGGTGGCCGCACATTCTTCTGCCCCGTGGACCTGCTGCTTCGGTACCCGCACTGGCAACTGCTGCTCAGCCTCGAGCGGCCGGCGCACGGCTGGGTGCTGTCCACGACGATTGACCCCGCCATTTTCGCGCTCGTGCTCGAGGCGCTCATCAGCCCGGCGGGCTTCGACGGCACCGAGCCCGGCCTGAGCCTGGTCAAGCTGGCGCTCGCCGCGCGGCAGGCGCACGACTGGGGCATGGACCGCGAGGTGTTCAAGCTGGTGGCGAGCGTGCGGCGGTTCGTCGCGCGGCGCGTGCTGTACCGCAACCCGCACCGGCCCGACGCGCAGGGCGTCATGGACCACCACTACTTTGTGCACCGCTCCGAGGACATTGTGCGCGCGTGGCGCGTCGCCCGGCGCGCGCCCCCGGCCCTGCAGGCGTGTCTCGCGCCCGCCGAGCTCGTCCAGCTGTACGCGCTCGCCGTCCCGCGCGACCTGTGGCCCGCGCTGACGGCCGAGTTCTGCGACGAGTTTGCCGCCCAGATCGACCTTGCCGCCCGCCTGCGCGTCGTCCCGGAGGAGGTCGACTACCACGACTGGTGGCTGCGCTGGTTCCGCCTCGCCGGCTGCTTGGACTATGACTGGATCGCAGACGTGCCGGACGTCCTCAACTTATTCTTTCGCAGCCAGGAGGAGGCCGCGCAGGCGAACGCGGACCAGGATCGCATAGTGCAGGCGACTGAGGGGGCTGCGGTGGACGGAATGCCGGCTGCGCCGCGTGGTGCCACTGCTGCGGCGGAGGGTCCGTAAGACGATTTTTTGGGAGGCGACGTACGATATATGAAGGTTTTGCATGATATATGAAGGACATGATTAATGACTTGCTTAGTTTTCTGGAAGTTGCTCACGGATGGGTTGCTCATTGCTGAATGGCGTGTTATGCTCCAAATGTTGCTTCGCTCCAACTGTACATTAGATTAGCATTGAATGGCTACAATAAATTCTTCACTTCTTCTGCCAGTCACTACGCACATACTATATCAAGTTTCGAGGCCCGTTTACTTCCTCATCACGTAGCCTTGAACACATCTGAGCTGCTTGCTTGTCTCGTTTTCCACACCGATGTATGTTTGTCCCCAACTCCACAACCCCGTGTCATGCAATAATGTATATATACAATGTTGGTTTTGCCCCGGCACAAGGTTGACCCCTACTTAATCCAGGACCAGATTCCACAGACCATCACCCAGAAAATGAGCCTCCTCGACGACCGGCCCCTTGCCCTTGGCCTTGACCTCGGCCGTGCCCTCGACCAAGAATCCCACAGCGCACGCCTCCTCCTTTCCCTCGGCCATGATGACGACCGGTTCTCCCTTGACCAACTCCCTGCTCCACCGCCCGTCCTCGTCCACGTGCTGCTCGAGCTCCTTGCCCTCCTCGAGGCCCTTGGGGCTACCGTCAGGCGGCAGGCGGCCGCCCGCGGACGTCAGCCCCGGCGCCATGAGGGTCGCGCCGGACAGCACGAAGCGGATAGCGCCGCGGTCGATGCGGACCGAGGGAAACGCGCGGGGGAAGCGGTGCACAAGGCGCAGGTGCGGCACCAGGCCGGCGGCGTCCTGCTGGAAGAACAGGGGCGTGACCGAGTCGACGACGTAGAGCGTGTTGCGGTCGGGCAGCTTGATCGACGACAGCGAGGCCTTTTTCGGCAGCACCTCGTCAATGTGCGGGGTGAGCAGCGGGTAGGTGGTCAGGAGGGACTGGCGCAGCGAGCGCTGCACAGACGACTTGAGTTTTTGCTTGGGAGCGGTTTGGAGGCTGGGCAGATGTTAGCGGGATATCGCGCGACGTGGCGTCGGAGGGGAGGGAGGTTGTTTGGAGGCAGTCAGGGGAGGAATTCATGCTGATGGAGGCGGCAAGACGTACTCTTTCTTAAACATGATGGCGGGTGGCTGTGATGTTTTGCGTAGAGAGAAGCTGGATGGCGGGGTCAAGCGACTGGAGGGGCAAGGGAAAAGTACAACTGCCCCGCGGCGGGGTTCACGGCAGAATGACGGTGACAGCGATGACACGCGATGAAATTGAAACAAATTGAAAAATTGAAAATTGGTCATTTGAGAATCTACTGATTTTTTAAAAGACCTCCTTTTGTATATTTTTGATGCCGGTGGCGATGAGTGGCCGCTCGCCGTTAGGCCTCGTCCACCGAGCTACCTCTCTAACCATGGTAGACGTGCGTCACAACGCCATCCTTTTCCACATGAATATTGAGTCTATCCTCTCGGAGATCTTTGGTAATCATCATACCCGGCTCAATAATGCGCACCTGCTCGGGCAAATCGCGCTTGCAAAAGTTCTATCCGCCCCCGCGTTAGTCGTCCAGCTTGATTCCCCATCCACCGCCAGGCCGTAAGTTGGTACGTACTGTCTCTGTCGTCGCCGTCTCGTTGACCGTCTTGCCGACGAGTTTGTTCTGCCACTCCTCTGTCTTGGAGGAGCCGTTGGGGTTTTGGTTCGGTAGGACAAGAGGCATGGTTGGTTTGGTTGTATTGCGTTTTGGAGATGGAAACTATGAAGAGGAGAAAGAGTTTAAACCGGCATGATGGATGATGACAGCAAGGTCAGAGTCAGGGCTGGGCGATGACGTTGGCATGGGCGACGCAACGCAACGCATGAACCGGTTACAGTTCAGAGCCATGCTGGATACGGTAGCCGGTGGACACACGGGGATGGGCGCGTGGGTGTAGGGCTGATGAATAGATATATCTGTGTAGTTGATCGGGTTTTCTTGATTCGTGCGTCATATTGCTGCTGCTTTCGGTATTTAGCAAGCTCAATTGGTCTATCGTCCGTCGTACTGATGTAACCCCATCGACTCACTTTAGTCAATGGTTTCCTGCCAGACTCGTTCTTTTGATTTATTTTCTTCTTATTATTCACTTCGCTTCGCTGGAGACGTACCGGTGAAATGACCTCTTTCCTCAGTTTATAGCCCGCTTGTTTGGTCAATTGTTCTCCCCCGTCATGCATCGAGGTATTGCATTCCAGCCCCGTCACGCCAACGAGGCACGCGTTTGCCTACCAGCCTCTCCGCAAGACAAAGGTAACTCCAGACGCGCAATGATCACCATCTGCCCAATGATTCAATAAACACATCTGTACAAATTGCATGGCACATAGTTTCCCCAGACCCGTCTTTTACTCTGTACAAAGTTACTTGTTCTTTTTTTTTCTGCCCGCACAACTTGCAGTAAACCCCATGTCTGACGCCTAAAAATAGCCCAGCCTGCCAGTCCCCACCTCGACCCCAACCCCTGTTCAAGTGGCTCAGAAGGAAAAAAAACGATAACTACTTGGGCGCTGCCGACAGCTTCACGCAGCCCGTTATCCGTCTCACCCAACGCCCGGTCCGATATATGCCCAATCAAACCCCCAATTTCCCAGCAATTTGTCCTCGCTCAGGAAACAGATCTGTAAAAAAATCCAACACACTTCTCTCCCTTGACGCTGCACCAGTTTTCCCCGGCCGTTTTTTAGCGTACCTGGTACAGCCACACTCGCCCCCCCGGGACACCGCCAAGGCATCTTCCGTCGACGAGCCTGCCTGCACACCAGCCACAGCCTCGCCTGGCCCATCACGACAAGGCTCTCTCTCTCTCGACCCCGAAACCACGAACCCCTGGCCACGTTCCCTCGTTAGTTGGTGCTATTTTTGCTCCCTCTGTCAGCTTTGTTCCCTCTCCTCGTCCTCTTGACCTCCTGCCAACGCCCATCTCAACTTCTTCTCCTAGCATCCCCCCCTTTTTTTTGACGTTATTTTTTGCTCTTTGTCTCATCTCTGCATTCTCACCCGTCTGCCTGCCCACACCAAACGGTGTTGCAAGCCACCAACCCCCTTTTACGCCAGTTTCCCTTCGTGCGAACAGCGCCCAATTTTTCTGTCGCCGATCATCGCTTCTTCACTGCTGATCTCCTTTAGCAAAAAAAAAAAATCACTCGAATCCGAGCCTCTCCATCTCTTTTACCGCGCCTCACAAGAACCGCAACCATGCGCTTCGCCATCCTCGCGTTGGCCGTCGGTGCCGCCGCCTCCGTCATCCCCGGCTCCTCCTCGCCTGACGCCTGCCTCCGCGCGCACTCGTCTCTCCTCGCCTCCCTTTCCGCCTGCGGCTCCCCCGCCGCCCTCTCTGCCTGCTTCTCCCAGCTGTCCTCCTCGTCGTCCACCGACGCGCTCGAAGCCTGCTACGTTGCCGCCGACTGCTCCGCCGACGACGCCGCCCGCGAGGCCCGCCACGTCCTCGCGCGCTGCGACCAGCTCCAAGCCGAAAGCGAGCTCCGCCGCCGCCAGGAGACCTTCACCGCCGTCATCACGCCCGCCCCCAACCCGCTGGCCATGGTCGCCGCCCGAACAAACGTCCAGGGCGATGACTGCTTCACCACCGAGGTGCAGAACCAAAAAGTCTGCCCGGGCGTCGTCTCGGGCACCTCGATGCCCTGCTCGCAGGCCCCCGTCACCTCCAAGTCGTGCCGCTCCGGCTGGCTCTGCACCGAGGACCCCAACGGCAAGGACATTTGCATGGCCAAGATCGACAAGCTCGACATTGGCGGCATCATCATTGCCATTGTCTTTTCCGTCATTATTCTCGCCGGCATCAGCTTCCTCATCTTCATGTCGTGCGCCGAGAGCCGCGCGCAAAAGAAGATGAATGCCCGCGCCGAGGCTACTGCGCTCGCGCGTGCCGCTACCAAGAAGAAGCGCGCCGATGAGGTCCGCGCGCCTCTCATGGCCCAGCAGCAGCAGACCGAGTACCAGACCCAGGGCAGCGGTAGCGGCAACCCCTTTGGCGACAGCCAGCCTCACTAAACGGTACGACACTGCGCTGCCGACGTTTTGCTATTTATGGAGTTTCAATTTTTTTTTCATCAACAAAAATGAGACCTACGGGGGGATAGCCCCAAACATGTAGAGGGGATGTGGTATGGAAGGATAATCGCGGAAATGTAGGCATGTAAGCATGTTCTCTTGGAAAAGAACGACGCCGGTCAATTTTGTCATTACGGTGTTGGTAGTTTTGCTCTGCTTGATTTTGGATTTGCCCCACGATGGACAGCGACTCGGGATACCATAACCTAGTTTTGCCGTTTCTTGCATAAAAAAACATGACACACAACTTCCCGTGCCGGTGATGGTTGCACTTTCTAGCATGACGCACTGTCGTACAAGCGCGTCACTGGGTCACGCCCTGCCCTACTTCTACATCACGCGAGTACGGACCAGCTTTCGCTGCCCAAATTTTCTTCAGGCTGTATATTGAATGCGGCGCTCGCACCTCATAAGTCTATTACACGGGTGACTGAGAGGACAGTATCCATGCCCTCAAGATGATGTCAAAGATATCAAGAGAGATATACAGAGAAATTGCACAGGAGATGCCGAGACAAGTCGACATGACAGACAAGAAGTGAAGCATCGACTACTTATAATGCTCTGTTTATCAACAGTGAAAACAGGGAATCCGAAACGAGAAGAAACCATGCAAGTGTCAACAAGGCACAAGAAAACCCACCGCGAGCAAAACAACATTGACCCTCTCCCTCTTCAAGAACCAACACGGAAAGTCCGGCACAGGCTCTGCAACCCTCTTATTGCGGCCCTTTGCGAAACCCTTATGCTCAAGGCGTCGGACCTTCTTCCATGATGCCGAGTCGCTGAAGGAGGTTCGGTCTGCGCGACGGACTGGGACTCACATCACTAGCCGCGTCACTACTTCCTCCGCCGCTGTCTTCGACGCGGGACGTACGCTAGAGACCCCGCATCGACGCGGTCGAAAATCCCACCAGCGGGCTACCAATCTCTCCGGGTGGTTGACGGAACAGGCCCGCACCGCCGCCGTGGAGCGCGTCGAGTGGCGTGCCGACGGCATCAGGTACCCAGCGCACGGCGTGGGTGGCATTGTCGCGCCGCACCACATCAAACGTGCCGCCACCGTTGGAGGCGTTGCCTTCGGTGTCGCAGAGGTTGAGCAGGTCCTGGGCGGTAATGCTCGGGTCCTGGGACTGGCTCTCGACGTGGTTGCGCAGCGCGCCAAGGTCCACGAAGCCGCTGCCATCGGCGGCCGCATCACTGCTGCCGGCGAGCGTCTTGCACGCTGCACATAGCATCTGCCGAATCGCGATATGCCGCGACGCCTGTGAGACGGTGCGCAGGCCACCGCCGGCGGGCGAACTCACCGCGAAGCTAATAGGGGACATGCCGGGCAGAGGAGGCGCACCCCAGCCGGGGTTGCCAAAGCCTGGAGGCGGAAAGTGCTGGCCGCTGGCAGATATGGGCGTCGGTGTCCAGGGGTTATGGCCGCCACGGGAGAAGCCGTTGTCCATAAACGCGCTCGCGGCGAAGCCGCTTAGGCGCGGACCGAGTGGCTGCGTCCGGAGGCTGCCTGGATTAAGGTCCACCGATCGGAGAGGCTCATCGTCTTCGACCAGCACGCTGCTACCGAGGTGCTGAGTGTCGTCATCGCCGGAGCGGAGACGGTCACGCGAGGTACTTCCCGGTCTTCCGATTGGGGCTGGTCGTCCAATGGGCATGGGGGCGGTGCCGATGGCTTCGAAGGGGCCAGAGCTCTGGCGGGTGTGCGTCGGCGGCGGCGCGTCCTTGGGTATGCCGGTATAACCTTGGTTAATCGGGAATTGGTCGCCGATGAGTGGTTGGTGGAATCCTGGGGGTCCGATTGGACCACCCGCGGGCATACCACGACCAGCCAGTCCATTGATACCGGGTGGTGCCATCATCATGCTGCTGGGGCTCGAGCGGAAGGCTGGAAATACGGGGTCGTTGGGAAGGCGCGAGGGGAACCCGGGCGGCGCGTGGTGAGGGAGTCCGGGCGGCGGCTGCATAATTGGGTTGGCGTGGAATGCGGCTGACAGCATCGAGGTCGGCGGCATGCCCGGCGGCGAGACAGAGTACGTCATGCCGGGGCCGGCACTGAAACTCAGCTTGCGCTCCTGGCCGATGCTGCCCGGGCTCATGTGCACGGCCGAGCTGGATCGCGGCGACAAGCTGGGTGACGCCGTCGAAAAGGCGGCGGGATCGTGCTGCTGGGACGGGACGTGCTGTCGCACAGGCGTTGGTGCCACAGACTTGGGCATCACCGGCGTCGCCACGGGGACTTTGGGTGATACAAAGACGGCCGGGTTCGGTGGGTGGTGAGGCAGGACGGCCGTTGCCGGTACAAGCGCGGACGGCTGCTGTGGTGGCTGTCCGCGTTTAGCCAGCTGGATCTGCGGCGGCACCAGTCCGGTGGCGACAGACACGGCCTTTGCTCTAGCTTTAGCTTCGTTCGCCTCTTGCGCCTCCTTGTGCGCCCTCGCAGCCCTCGCCTCCTTGTCCTTCTTGTCGCGCTCCTGCTTCTCCTTGCGTTCCTGGGCTTCGCGATCCTTTTGCTCACGGGCCTCCTTATCCCTTATGCGCTGTTCCTCCTTGGCCTTCTTCTCGCGCTCCTTGAGCTCACGGGCTTTGCGCTCCTGCTCAGCCTGCTTTTCTTTTTGCTCGTGAATCTTCCGCAGCCGTTCTGCTTCCTTCTTGAGTCGAGCTTCTTCTTCTGCTCTTCGCTGCGCCTCCTTGAGGCGGCGTTTCTCGTCGGCCTTCTGCTTCTGCTGCGCAACGCGCTGCTGCTCTGCTTCTATGCGAGCGGCGTCCTCGGCAATCTTTTCGGCCTCCTTACGTGCCTTGTCCTCGGCGATGGCTTGTTTTCGCTGAACAGCCTTGTCCTTTTTCTTTTGCGCATTTTTGGCCTTCTTGGCCCTTTGCTCGTTTTCTTGACGGCTTTCCTCTTCCAGTTCCTCGAGCAACTTCTGTTGGCGTTCCTTGGCAACCTTTTCCTTGTACGCAGAGAGAACTCGCTGCTCAAACATACGAGCGGCGAATATTTGGAACATCCTCCTACCTTCTTCCATTCGCTGAGTATCGGTCATTTGCTCCTGGAGGCTGTGCTCAGTATGATACGCCGACGGCATGGCAGAAGAACTGGAATATACCTCTTCATCCTCATACTCTTCGTCCTGGCTGTCCTCGTAGTCATCCTCCTCGTCCTCCTCGTCTTCGTACTCTTCCTCTTCAGCGGGAGGATGACTGTGAGAAGGAGCAGCGTATGCGCCGTTGGGATGAACAAAGCCGCGGTTAAAGTGCTCTCGGGCATCTTCCTCGCGCGCCATGCGGCGCTCGGCAAGCTGCTCCATCATTTCGATGAAGCGCTTGCCGTCATTCTTCAGTAAATCATCCGCCACGGTGAGTATTCCCCCTAGGTCAAGGTTACCATATGTCCGGAAGAAGAATTCGAGAGTCTGCGTACCCTTGACTTGAAGACTGTTGCCGAATGTCAAGAAATCGGCCACGTCACGTTCGTGCGTACTGTGAAAAGTTTCAGGAGGTTCGTCGTCACTATATTCGTCGTCATCCACTTCGTCTCCGCTGTACACCTCTTCAATCTCCTCTCCCTCTTCATCGTCCTCTTCGTCGTCATCGTTGTCGTCGGCTTCTTGTTCCACAATTTCCGCTTGCGATACTGGATGCGACATGTAAGCTGCCGGTAGGCCGCGGGACGACCGTATAGCAAGCTCATGAGCCGGGCTCAACATGCCAGAAGCCTCTCCTTGGTTGGCAAACTGCTCAAGCTCAACGTAGTACGCGTCGTATAAGCCTTCCAACTCCTCTTCTATGGCGTTGCGCTTACGGCCGCAAACGCTGCAACTGCAGGTGTGTTTTTGTTGCTCCTTCATTTTGCGCAACACAGCGTCCTTCTCGACTTTGACGAGAGACTTACGCTCCTCCTCGCCGAGGCCAAGCCAGAATTCTTTGATCCGCTCACGCTCCTCATGATTGCTGGTACTCCATATCTTGTCTCTGGACATGCCAGGCCCGCGCACTGGTTCGGCGGGCACCAGTGGTAGGGAGGAGAAGTTATCGTCAGCGTCCGGGGCAGCATTCTGCTTTTTCTTCTTGCGGTTCTTCCTAGACTTGGATGACTCGCCGTTGTGTTGATGCAGATGGCCCGCTGGTGGGTAGGGACGGTCGTCTTCGCCATCGGTCGCGATAAGGTCTGCGTGTTGCGGTGGCGGTGGAGGAAAAGAGGTGCCGTGTCGAGCAGCACGAGCATGTCCATGAATGTGGGTGTGGGCATGGGCGGCATGAGGGTGAGCATGAGCATGACCCTGCGCGGCGGGTCCGTGGCCGTTGACAACATTTTCCGCGGCAGCCTTTGCAGCGGCCTTTTGCCTGCGCTTCTGCTTTTTGCGATTAACGGATGGGCCAACGGCAGAAGCATCATCGTGGTCGTGAGCGGCGGCAGCGGAAGCTCCAGGGTGCGGTTGGGAGGCCAGGTAATGGTCGTTTGTCGCAGGCAACGTCGGGGTGGCAGGCTGGGAGGACGAGTCGGAGCCCTTGGGGACGGTGATGAACTTGGAGCCATCCTTGTTTGTGTACTTGGCGGTGTTTCTGGGCGATGCCGGCGAGGGAGCAGCCGGTTTGTGGGTGTTGGCCGGCATCGTAGGGTGGTCTACCAGTCTCGCAGCGGCGTCGAGCTCATCAAGAGCGAGGTGTACCGCGGAGGAGGGACAGGTCGGAGGCGCAGTTCGGAGCGGCAAAAAGTGACGAGAGGGTTCTTCGTTGAGGGAAACAAGGCGAGAGGACGGGGCGCGCACGTCAAGACGAGGGCGCCGGGCAGTCTGGTGGAATTTGTGTACGGCCGGCGGCAAGCGGACGGTTGGGTTGGCGGTTGGTGGTTCGGAGGTTAGCCTTGGGAAGTGGTGGATGGACGCTTTGGACAGATGGATGGTGGAGAGGCTTTGCTTGCCCAGGCTCGCGGGTCCCCAGGTCCCCTCCCGAAACTGAGGCACTGACTGCTGAGGGTCAGCGTCAGGGTTATTAGGTCAGCGATGACACCAATGGCTGGGAAGGACAGAGGCGGAAGACGAAAAATGGACAATGACGATGATTTTAAACTGAAGCCGTTATTGGCATCTGACGAACAGCACGCGAGCATCTAACACCAGTCACCTCAGATACGGGATGGGCAATGATAGGTACAGGTAGGTAGGTGGGAGGCGCAAGTCGGCTGGTCGAGGGCTAAAGTCACGGTTAGGTGGTGATGCAGCGAAAAGGTACATATGAGGAGGTGGGCGGCGCGAGAAGGCCAGAGAATACAGCGGTTTAGGATGTTTTAGCGCTTGTTCAGCGCATTGCAGGCGGAATAAGTAGCGTGGACAGCCAGTGATAACAGATGACAGATCGGAAATTTTGCAGGCAGTTCCTATCTATTTCAAAGAATTATGAAAAATCTTTACACAGTCACTGTCCTCACTTGGTATTTATGAGCATTTATTATGCAGGTTTAGTTTTCCTTCGGACACTGTGGCGGGGCATCAATGCTTAATATTGACACGTGACCTTTTCACAATGGACTCGAGGACCCCTCAAGGTTCTAACAGGAGAATCCGTTGCTTTTTCGGCCTTAGGCGTGAGATGGAGATGGACACCTGCGATAGTCATTTCGTTGCACTACAAGAATCCGATATTGGAGCCCACCGCATTGCAAAATTCACACTGTTGCACCAGGCTCCTACCAAATCTCTCGGAACAAAAGTGCCCCCGAGTCTGGCCAGCCCAATTCGGCATATATACCCGCGTCAAACGACAGTTTGCCGTCAAACAACAGACGTCGCACACGCTGCAAGCAAACGGGTGAAAACAACCGGATAGAAAAAGTGCGCCGAAGGAATGGATTGGTGTATTTGCGACTTTTGTTTCATCGTGCATTTTTGCCGGCGGCGTCAATCAATTCCTTCCGCGTTTTACGGCAAAGTTGCGAACAGCGCATTGTCTAATCTCGCAGTAGCTGTTCCATATCCGTAGACTGCTATATCAATACCTAACTAGAGGGTCGTTTAATGACAAACTCCATGGAGCGGCCGGCTGTGGCTGACATATACGAAACGGCTGGCATCAAGGTCTGTATCCGTTCACTGTGAAGAAGCGCCACCACTGTCCCCGTAAGCCAGCTCACGGCTGGGCTCGTGTTGGGCGGCTCGCTGTTCCATAACTAGACAGCTTGATGGCGCGATCATGGTACAATTGGTCGCAGCTAACGAAGGATGCTTGTTTTATTATCGGCTTCTAAGCTGGCCGGTGGATGCGGTGCGGCTCGGTGGCAGCGTTGCGATGCGTGTAAGGCGCGGGGTGCGGCTGGAGCAGGCGAGGTGGGTGCTTTATATAGCTATATATGTGGCAGCCTCGTTCTCGGATTAAACCTTCTGCGTGGAGTAAGTAAGTACATATATCTGTCCTCGGTAGATGTCTGCCAGGACGAGGCTGCTATATGTGTTGCATTGCGATCAGCGTATCCACCGCGGCTCCGGCGATGTCATTGTCTACTTATCAGGGCCTTCACCCCATGCGTAGCGGTGTATTGCTTGACGGTCTGTTCCTGCCCAGGGTAGACTCTGTCGATTGAACGAGATTGTGATAGAGAATGTGAGTAATATGGCAAAGTCTAATCTCCACAGGATGGAGAGTAGGAAGCAGGACAAGTAGGATAGAATGTGCCAAGTTGCGCCAAGCAACAGGTAGCAAGGGAGCTCGTAGACTCGACGGGCATGCATCGTCCATTGGGACACCTCTCTCGCGGACCTGTTTCCAGGAACGGAGGCAAGTAAGGAGTTGTTGGGGCTTGCGGAGATGGGAGCGGATGGCGCGTCTGGGAGGGTCGGCGCTAGGAGCTAATGTAGACATATTTTTCCTCTGATGTCGGAAGCCCTGGTCCCCTGTGAGCTGTCGGCCATGGTGATTGGGCTTGGATGGGTTGGCAAGTGGTGGGCGCTCGTATCATGGTGAGCATGGTTAAGGAAGTGGAATTGCTCAAGTCAGTAGGGTGAGAGTGGCTCGAGACGATTCCTTGTCTCTACTTTTGCTGATTTCTCTTGATTTCTATTCCATTTCAACCTATCGGAGTTGCTGATCGCTTATTCTTATAGATGTATCCGTAAAACCCGCCGAGTAATTACAGGTAGATGGCAATATGCTCCCATTTCTGCGCTGGAGTGGATGGCCCATAATAATGAGAGCCGGTCAGGTACTTGGCGGGTGGTTCCAGCGGGTTTAGTGTCAGTTCTTAGCGCGCATTGCCCAGAAATACGCCCTAAAAGGACCTGGAGGCCCCCCCTCAAGCCCCTAACCCGCTGGTCTCACGGCCTCACAGCCACCTCCATCTTTTTTCAGCTGCCAGACCGAGCTTTGCCTCCTTCCCGCTTTTGCTTGCTGTGGCTCGCTATCGATCCAGGCAAAATCGACAATGACCACAAATCCCCATCACCTCGTATTCCTCTTCTTGATTTCCTCACTTGCACTCTTCCATCGGCCGCCCTTTCATCGTCCTCCCCCCTGTCCATTCCATCCCGGCCATTGTTCGCCATTTCCGATCCGCTACCTACCTACGTATCAAGCCGTTACTTAATTGTGACCGGCGCCCGCCTCTTTTTTCGGTCCCCTCCACCGAGGCACAACCAAGGGCCTACCACCGCCCGCAATTCCCATCTCAGCCCTCCGACGCCCAAAACCGTCATTAACGGCACCGACCGGCCGTCCGTCGTTTTGCTCTTATTTCTTTTTGCTTTTTTGGTGCCCTTCATTGTACCACCCTCTAGCTGCCATTGCCTGCTGTGCTCCATTCCGACAGCTACAAGCTTCACGCCTACCAGCTAGATCCCAACTGGGCTCCATCCCACATCTCACCGCAGCCTTGTGACGCAGCCTTTTTCAGCGCTGTCGGTCACCGTCTCGCGCTTTTTTTTTTCCATTCTACTTTTGCTTCCTGGTGGTCTTCTTCCTCCATACTATTCTTCAACCAGAAAGACGCCAATTCTTCCCAATAAGCCGCGCCTCGGCCCCGCCTTCTCGACGAACCCTCTCGCCCGCTCTCTACCCGGCACGGATTTCTCGGCTGCCACCTCGCATCAGCCATCTCCTCGATAGTCGTCTTCCTCCTTCCTCTGAGTCTCCCGACGACAAATTATTCACTGGACTGTTTCCAGTTTCGTCTCCCGCGACCCAACGTCTTCACATACCGCTGCCATGGCTGCCGCGAACCCTCCAAATGTCATCCGAAGGCAAGCAATCCTGACGCTCGCTCCCAATTATGTTACCATATGCTGTGCCCTATATGTAGTTACCCTTTTCTTGTGTCATGCTAACCCCCGCTCTACAGAAAGCTCGTCATTGTCGGTGACGGTGCCTGCGGCAAGACGAGTCTGCTCAGCGTCTTTACACTTGGCTTCTTCCCGACCGTGAGTTTCCTAGCAAAGCTTTCCCACTCTCCAAGACGATACTGACCCAATACAGAACTATGTGAGCCTCCCATCGATCCGCCCTCGCACCGCAATACTGACTTAACAACCAAGATCCCGACCGTCTTTGAGAATTACGTCACCGACTGCCGCGTGGACGGCAAGTCTGTCCAGCTCGCACTTTGGGATACCGCCGGCCAAGAAGACTACGAGCGACTGCGCCCTCTAGCTTACGCTAAAGCCCATGTTATCCTCATTGGCTTTTCCGTCGATACTCCCGATTCTCTTGACAATGTCAAGAACAAAGTACGCAACCCCGACCCCGCGGATCTCGAGCAACCCACTCGCCGAAGGCAGCATCGCTGGCGAATACATTTTGTCTTCAATTTTTGCTAACAGAGACCTCGCCTCATAGTGGATTACAGAAGTTATGGATCTCTGCCCCGGCATCCCCATAATCCTCGTCGGTCTCAAAAAGGACCTACGCGAAGACCCTGTCGCCATCGAGGAGATGCGCAAAAAGTCCTTGCGCTTCGTCACCACCCACGACGGCGAGTCTGTCGCCCGCGAAGTTGGCGCCAAGCGATATCTCGAGTGCTCCAGCCTCAGTGGCGAGGGTGTCGACGACGTCTTCGAGGCCGCCACCCGCGCCGCCCTGCTGACCTTTGAAAATGGCGAGGGCAGCGGCTGCTGCGTCGTCTTGTAAAACAACCCTGCACTTCTCACCCCGCCTTTTCTCACCCCGGCCAACATCATGCCGCACAGACTGTGCCAAAACAAATAAGTACACAACCGAGTGTGTACTTTCAAAAGTCTAAAAACACGCGAATCCAGAGCCCAGAGGTTTTAATTTGCTCTTGACCCTGCGTAGCTCTCGGCACAACAGCCTCGGCGAACTCCACTGACACGAAAACACGATCCCAGACAGAAAAGGACCACCCGCCCATGATATGTTCTTCTTGTTGGTTATATATATCAGAATCTGTCTCCGCCTCTCTACCTACCAATCTCTCTCTCTTAAAAACTAATTTAGCATACTCTGAAATCATCCATGGATAAAAGAAAGAACGGTTTTCAGTTTTCTTATCTTTCTTCCGTTTTTTCTCTTGACAAATATGACGATTATACAAATTAAGGCTGAGTTTAATTCAGCGGACTGGTCGGATTCTTGAGCAGTGAGTGATTCGGGCCAAATCAATTAGTATTACCTGCCTGCATACAATACCTGGGCATTGGGCAGACATCTGGAGCGAATAATCGGGCAAAATGCTCTTTCTTCACTTGGGTCCATGAGATTTTGTCATTTTTCAACACTAATTTATTGACTAATAACGAATGATCAATAATACACTACAATATCCCTCTTCCATAGATCGCTTCTACTACTAATACATCAATGATTTTGATCCGTCAAAGCTTGTAACACTCCCTCCAGCTTGTGATGAAGCTCTGCACAGGTGCGGTCTCCCAGGTCTCCAATACTTTTCCGTCGAGACATCCCGTCCAACAGCACAATTCAAACCTAAGAAGTCTAATGACACAGTATAATGCAACGCCAAGCAATGCAGTTACAATATGGAGTAGTTCCAATCTTGTGCAAATCCACATCATCGCTTCCACTCGTGATTCCATGCCTCGACCGCCGGCGTCTCCGTCTGCATGCGCGCGTACTCGATGGGAATCGCGTCGCCGTTCCAGACACCCTGCTTCTCCATGGCCACGCGGTACAGATAGCCCTCGCCTCGGTCGCCGGGTCCTTCAGCCAGGCGAAGCGCCTCGCACGCGTTCCACATGCCCGCCTGCATGCGGCTGCGCTCCTTGTGCTGCGCCTCGTGTTGCTGGCGGCGGAACAGCTGCCACGCGCGGTGAATCGTCCAGTGCCGCAGGTGTCGCTGCCGGGCCATGCGCAGAGGCGGCGGTGCCGGCGAGTACATGTTTTGCTTGAGCGTGCGCACCTTGCGCCCACTCTCCGTCAGGCCAGTCGACTTGCCCTTGGCCTTGCGCTTCGGGGTCGACGGCTTCAACTTGCCCCCTTGTTTGCCCTTTGTCATTTGCGGCGTCGTGCGGGCGAACGACGCCGGCGTCGCGCTAAAAGCTCGGCTCGTTGTCAAGGTCGTAATCGTATCAGTCGTTGTGCGAAGAATTGAGGCCGGTAGCAGTGAGAAGCTGCCAAAGAGCCGCGCAATGGACTTTGTCGAAGCCATTTTGTTAATGCGTCAGGTTATACTCATGCAGTCTCATCAAGTCGATTTCGCCCACAATTGTTTGCTCGAGTGTGTCGAGCTGAGTCTCGGGATAATTCGGAGCCTGAGTTCCGAAGAAGGGCAGATCATCAACCTCAATTGGATTATCCAATGAGCGGCCGGTTTCGGTTTCGGATGAGTCGCTCCACAGCAGATTGGAGAAGCTTGTGTCCGGAAGTATGTCCTGAGGTTCGAAGAAGGTCGGAGCATCAATTTCAATTGGATTATCCAGTGAGCCGCCGGTTTCGGTCGAGTCGCTCCACAGCGGATTAGCGAGGATTGTCTCCTGAACTGTCTCCTGAACTGTCTCCTGAACTTTCTCCTGAACTGTCTCCTGAACTGTCTCCTGATTTGTCTCCTCAGTGAAATTTTCGAAACCCGTAGAGGTGCACAAGTCGTAATTTGGATAGGTTGGGCTGCCGGTTTCGGTTTCGGGTGAGCCGCTCCCCGGTAAACGGACAAAGATTGTATCCTGAGTTGAATTCTCAAAACTCGTAGAGCTGTTATCGTAATTCTGCAAGGGGTTCGCAAAGCTGCTATGATCGTTTGTTGGATAGGCTGAGCTGCCGGGCTGAGTCTCGAAAGTGCTATCCTGTGTAAAGCGTAAATCGAAATAATGGGGGGGCAAGCATGTAACAGGAATTGGCAACGATGTGATGCTTGGTTGAGGCTGGAAGTTCAGAGCCCTGGAAACACTCTGAGCCCCGGAAAAACTCTGAGCCTCGGAAACACTCTGAGCCCCGGAAAAACTCTGAGCCCCAGAAAAGCTCTGAGCCCGAGCCGCGGAAGAATTATTGTGGGCCTCAGTGTCGAACATCTGAGGTTGATGAGTCTGCGGCTGAGTCTCCGTACTAGGCTGATCTTTAGCCTTCTTTCTTGGCGCATCATTCTTTGTAGGCTCTCTGGGCGCTGTTTTGGCCTTCTTCTGGGGAGGCGCTTTCTCTGTTTCGGCCTTCTTCTGGTGAGTCGGATTATCTTTTTTGGCTTTCTTCTGGGGAGGCGGCTTGGATGGATCCTTTGGCTTGTTCTTGGATCCAGGAGGTCTTCCGCGCCCGCGCTTGGCGACGATGGAGACCGCGGTAGGCGAAGGATCCAAAGTGGAGTTTGCGACTGGATGATGTTTCTCCTCAGAAGCGCCTGATTGGTTTCCCTCGTCGGCCACATCTGGTGCTTGTTGGTGGTGCAGGGCGACGGAGGGCTTGACCTGCTGATTCTGCGTATTCGTAGACGTCCCTTGGGTGGGATGAGATGCAGATGCAGCGGGGGCGACGTCCTGGGAAGCCAACAAGTGCGGCTGTTGGTTGTCCATCGTGCTATCAAGATGGGTATGTGTTTGGAGGGCTTGGTAAACAAATGTGTTAACTTGGCTAACAAGTAGCCAAAGGTCTTGGTTTTTGGGCAGGTTTTCAGAGACTGTTCAGTCAAGGAAAATATTTGCGTTGCAGGTTGTCGAGTATGTCGTAGACTGGCTCTGGGAGGGGGGGCGCGGTAATATAATGCCACCAGGCTGATTAAGTTTACAAAAGCTACGAGGACCTTGTAGTTGCTGCTGCACCAAGAAACGGTGAACTATGAGATGCAAACTCTGCTGGGGGTGCGCCTAGTCCTGTACATGATGCTGCTTGTGTATGTCGGACAGTCATCAGTCCTGCGTAGCCTGAAAGATACTAGCTAGATTAAAATATTCTAGCAACATTGAAAGACTCTAGCTATATTGAAAGACACTAGCTAGATCCATCTTTGGGAAAGCGAAATCACACGAAAACACGAAAACCTTCCCGGCTTGTTCGCTCGGGAGCGGTTATAGACGCGCCAACGACCCGGGATACAACACCATTGACACTATTGACCGACAAAAAGGTTCGTTCAATATACTTCCATTTGTTCTTGTCGGGGTTGAGGTCCCTAAATTCTCCACGCAGTGATTCAACCCGCTCCTTCCTCACATCCGCCACCAACTTGGTTACCTGGGAGGCAATGAAGGTTTCGTGACGTGTATCTATGAGCGTTTTCAACTCGCAGAATATTCTCAAAGTAACTCATTGTAGAGCCCGTATTTGCATACCTGTCCCAATAATTCGCCGCGTAGGCTTAGGCTTCAATGGGGACGCGGGGGGGTGGGCTTTGAAATCGTCAACACGTGGCAATTATATTCCAACAATTTGCTCTTCAAACCAGCGATGACTCGGAGACGACGCTATAGGACCCTTAAGCCGCTTTTGGGGGGAGCACAGCCCGCATCTGACCTGCAAAGCGCATTCCTGACCTCGCGCCTAGCAGGTCACGGCAGCATCGAACTCCTCCATGTAAACTTAGACACCCCACTGGATACCTCCCCGATCAGTTTCCATGGTACTGTAGCAAGTTTTAGTGCCATGGAATGATTATTGGAGTGCTGGTAGCGTGGAGGGCGGCGGTGGACGCACCTGTCATTTCTTCCATGTCGTGGGGGCGAATGTACAGAATATTCGGCACGGCCGTGCTAGCTCAGTGATCTAATGTTTCGAGCCGTCCTCGCTTGTTCCAATGGAGTGATTGGTTGCAATGTGAATTCCTTGTAGTTCTCAGACGGCGCCCATTCGGACGGCAAGCATACTAGCGGTTGTCAGCGAAGACGTCGAAAGCTTGTGGCTGACGAGTAAACTAACAATTTAGAACACAAATATGCGGGATGTAACTAGGAGAAAGGCCTCCTTACTAAAAGCAGCGAGACCATTAGCAATGGCCGCCATGGCTTGCCCACGAACGCCGTAGTGAGTGTATCGACTTCTGAATGTTCCGTAGATACCACACTCCGTTCAAGCCGGGCTTGAACGATAGAATGAGACTCAGTTCTCGAAGTAAAGCTTCTGGAAGACTCATGTGCTGAGAATCTTCCTTTCGTGCCAGATCATCGCCACTGCGGGGAAAAAGTCGGCACTGTCGGCCATAAAGTTGTTCAAGTGCGCCGCGATTGTGTTGCAAACCAAGGCCGCAGAGTTTTCTGACCCCGTCGACTGACTAGGAAAGTATTCTTTTGGTGGTAATAAGCTTTTCGAATTGCTCGGAAACTTTCCTTCCATGTGCACATCAAATTTTGTCCGTACCCCCGACACCCCGAGTTCCACTCCCTTTCTAGAACGTCACCGCGGGGTGCGACGTCCGAAAAGTATTCGTACGCCTCTGTATGGACGACAAATTGATCTGGGTCCAGGCCAAAGGCACGCTTGATGCTGCAGACATCGGCGCTGGCGTTTGCCAATCACCTGGCTACCAATGCCATGCACAGTGCGAATACTAGCAAACGACGGACGGCTTGTCTTGTGACTCCTGTGACTCCTCGGCTTGGAGGAGCGCCTTGACAAGCTCCTCCACATCGAAGCAGCAGTCGGCAGCTTCGAGGACGTCCCAGCCATAGGCACGCAGCAGGTCGATGCTGACGTCACACGTCATTTGGTGATTGGCGTAGGGGACAGCGAGATTGTTTAGCTTCCAGTATCCCGTAAGTGGACCACCTCGAGAACACACACCCACTTGCAAGCAGATGTCTCTGGTTATGCAACAGGTGACATTGTTGACTAGGTTGTAGCCTGGTCGGTTGTAGGTGGCCGCCAGTTTCTTCATAGCAATTGCCAGACCGACGGCCTTAGCCACGCCCTGACCGAAGGGGTCAGTCGTGACTTTGATTCCTTCGATTTCAGTCTCGGGTGGCCCGGCCAGAGGGGCGTGTGGAGTGGTACGACTTGAGCGGCTCAATGTCATGTCCTTGTACACTGCAAGAAATGTGTCCTTAAATTGACAGGTATGTCCATTTGAGAGCACAAACCGATTGCCTTTCAAGTACTTCGGGTTGTTAAGGGAGTACTTCAAGACATATCTCCACCGAGCGATGCCCATGGCGGCCATCCCCATGACGCTTCTATTCGGAGTATTAGCTGACGATTTCGACCACATTCAGAGAACCTATTCACCTAGATGCCTGCCATTACTTCTGGCAGAGATCTGCAATCAAAAATCTGAACTGGTTCAGGACGAGAGGGACTTTAGGACCGTCATACTTTTATAGGTGGCGACCACCTGTGTGCCCTGCGGCTGCTGGCTCACTGCACTTGGCGACCTATGGACCGGCAAAATTAACAAGAGGATATCGTGAGTACTGAGCCAAGGAGGTCGCAAAGTTAACACGACCAGGGTCACACTGCGGATGGGAGCCGCTTTCCTACCTGCCATAACGGGATGCCGTGGTCAGTTGGCCTGGCGCATAGAGATTCCTGCTGTCGAAAGGGGGATAATCCTGGGGAAAGGTGGTGCCTCAGTCTCACCAGCGGCCCAATGAAAAGAGAACCACCGGATAACGGACAAGCTCGGGTGTATCCTTGATCTTTGTCCTAGATTTCCGATATCTCAATCGTTCGCTAAGAGCAAGTGATGTGAGTGGCGATGACAGCTCAAGCTGGTGGCGCCGTCCGCCCAACAAGGACGGATAGGCTGGGGCTTCGATTGAGATTGCATACCAGAGTTGTCCCGGTCGGTGAGCGCGGAGATGGCGCTGCTTCTTCATGGCCTGGACGGCTGCGACCCCGACGTCGCTACTCAGACAGTGAGTGACGTTGCATTCGCCCCAATTCTTCTCGAAGCATATTCATAAGCTTGAACAACAACGCTGATGATCTAGTTTAGCTACCATTCTGGAGTTCTCCGCTCGCGTGGGGTTGCTTGCCGATAAGCATTGCGCCGCTTCATCGATAACTTCGGGGACCTTCTTGGACTAGCACCAGTCCAAGGAGGTAGTGCACGATCGTCAGGCGTGAACCTGGGTCGTCCACAACTGCAGCTGCACGGGCGGCGGACCCGTCCTGAAGTTCCAGCTCGGCACAGGGCGTGTCTGTCAGCGGCAGCCGGTCTCGCCCAGTGAGCCTGTACACGCACGCCGCGCCCCGGTCGCTTGGTTCGTAGAGCCATGTCGCGCGCGCCTCCGCGGGAATCTCGTCAAAGCCCGTCGCGTCATTGTGCGTCGAGCGGCGGCGAGGTGCCACTTATGGTAGCAAGGGCCACCCTCACACTGGTCACGGTGACTCGACAGCGCTATTGCCGCCCTGGTCGCCCGCCCGTAGGAGTAGCTGAAGAGGACGGATGTGTTGCTTCGCTCGGTCTCTAGTATGGTTACCTCTTGCACAGCTTTAAAGCTATCGCGAAAGGTACTCACAGAGTCTGTTGGTGCTGAGGGAAGAGTGACGGCGACGCTTTGGAAGCGAGCCCTGGGCGGTGGCGTCGCGTCACATCTCTGCGCCGCAGTATCACGAATCATGAGACAAATACCAGAGAAGATTTCGCGTTCATTCCAGCTATATACATATATATTGAAAGGACAAGGAATATAAAGGGATTACGGGAAAAAAATACTATTTTATATAGTCGACTTCCTATTTCCTTAACCCACGTATCTGGCCTTAGTTTTTAGAAGCGCCAGACGCACTGAGTTTTAAATGACAGCACTGAGCTTAAAGTGACAGCATTGAGTTTGAAATGATAGCACTGAGCTCGAAATGACAGCACTGAGCTCGAAATGACAGCACTGAGCTTGAAAATCACTTTCTCCCCTAAAACAAAGTTCCAGAATTCGTTTTACACAAGTGGTCAATCAACTCATTTCCGTGCGGACGTGACGAGTGAGTTTGGTCCGAAGTGGGACTTTCTCGGTTGGTCTCGGGTGGCTGGCTACCTCTATTCTCTATTCCATCTACAGATTAGAGGTTGTGGTCTGTTGTTCGCGGATAAGAATAATTACTTAGGGGATTCAAATCTTAAATCAGAGGAATATCTCAGGGTCACGAATAAATGGAAACTTTTGAATGTATTGAAAAGGTAGTAAACAGGCCACTAGATAAATATTTCTTTTAAAGGATATGCAATATTAATGTCTGAATGAAACGGTATGTATTAGCTTCAGTCAACCAAAAGTATAATTATGAAGAACACGCGCCACACACTGAAAGATACCTAGGTAGTCTTTATTTAAAAACATGTAGCATAGTTGGTACTATGATAAGAACCTGCCTACGTGTCTAACTTTCTTGCTAGGTTGCTTATTAATTTGCTGCCTCTCCAACTGGCTTATTTCTTGCTGGCTGGCTGTTTTTGTTATTCATTCTCTTGGTGCTCCTTTGGTTGTTCCAAAATGTCGAAGAATTACATTTGCACCTTTGGTGACCATCGGAGCAATTCGCTTGCTTGCCGAAAATGGACAGGGCGTGGGGCTGCCTAATTAGGGCACCGCTTCGCAGTGGTCATGCGGTAGCGTGATGAGCTTCCTTTTCCATTAGCATGGCATCTGCGAGCGAACAAAAGAGGCCAGGTGGCATTTCAAAGCCCGAAGACGACGTCAAGACATCATTTGCTTCCTGCTGTCTTGCACCCGGGATCATCCGCTGTCTCTACCAGTACCTTCCGCGCTCAACCCCGTGTTGGGCTTGTCGCTCACTTAATTTTCCCGAGACGAATCTCGCACCGAACCACCACACAGCATACACTGGTTCCCTCTTATTATGACGCCCAAATCGCTAGTTACAAAGGCAGAGGGCCCGCCGCGCTCCGCTTACCTTTTCTTTCCCCGGCGCCGGTAATCCATCTGGGCTCCCCTACCCCGTCAAACTGGATACCCTATGGCTGCGGGCGAGGAGCCGCGGCAGCCCAAGCGCACCCGGACCCGGACGGGCTGCCTCAACTGCCGGCACAAGAAGCGCAAATGCGACGAGGGCCGGCATTCGTGAGGGTCGTTTTATCGGCGCGGCCAGCCGTGCGAGGGGTCTGAAGATGCCGTGGCGCTCTTCCGCCGCCAGGCATTGGCGTGCAGCCAAGCCACGCAGCGTCCTCTGGCACGCGCGCCGCGTCTGCGCCATTAGCATCTCCAACCATGACCACGCCGCGTGAACGAATAGAGTGAAGCCCCTGACCTGTGGATTGCAGGCCGCTGCATGAGAAATCCCATGGAACTCGAAGCCATTGCTGGACAAGATCGAGCGTGAATCTGGCTGGGGCACCAGCTGGGGCGCCGACGATCTAAAAGCATACTGGGGTGACTTGGGTGAGTAGCCTAATCATGTAACGATAATCATGTCATAAGTCATGTCTAATGCTTACAGGCTAGATTCTGCAGAATATAATTACATTCACCTCCGCTGTCTGATTAGGACTTGATCCAAAGCTAATCGTCCCTGCGTATATGTCAAAAGCAATATTAATCCATCCAAAAGGTATGCATCTTGTAAAACAATTCTGTAAAACAGTCCTTCTCTATGAAGGGGTAGTCTAATCCAATATCATTTCTCCCTTGCGATCTCACCTCACCAGCCCGCGACGCAGTTCAAAGCCCAATACCCCGAATGCGCAGCAGGGCGACCTGGTGAGAGGTCCACGTCTCGCCCACCTCACACGGGTCCTCTCCAAACTCGGCCTTTTCGAACCCGAGCGGCCTGTCTTTTTCCAGCGAGATCTTGCCCATCTGCGCCTGGCAGCGATAGCTCCCGAAGCGGAACTCGACGACAGCGCGGCCGCCGCCGCGGATGAGCGTCTTGACCTCGTCGATCTGGAACACGAAGCGCTCGCCAAAGTAGGCCGTCAGCGTCTTCTCGTTGACGAAGTGGTCCTGGCCGGTGATGAGCAGGACGCGGGAGTCGTCGCCGCCGCGGGGCGTGGTGCCGCCCGTCTTGATGCGGTTCTGGGCGACCTTGGCGCGGTGCTGGCGGATGACGAGCCCGTGCTCGAGGGCGTGCGCGAGGAGCCGCTGGGCGGCGGCGGGCTGGAAGAAGACGACCTTGGCGGCGGCGGTGCTGTGCGCGAGCCCATCGGGCCCGTTGATGAAGCAGCACCAGATGCGGCCCATGTACCGGATCTGCGCGAGGAGCTCGCGGTGGGTGATGTCGGGCGGCAGGTTGGTGATCCAGAGGCTGGCGTTTTGCTCTGCCGACAGGTGCTCGGCGCTTGCGTTGGACTCTGTGTGCATGCCGTGGTAGCGGTCCGAGAAGCGGTGGGATGGAGCGGGGGGGTTGTTGCTATTGGTGCTGGCGGAGGCGTTGCTCAGCGGCCCGGGGATGATACTGCTGCTACTGCTGCGAGAGGGCTCGCGGCCGGACCGGATCGCTTGCATCGGGAGGAAGCCCTGGAAGCGCGGCTGCAGAAGGAATGGCACCGGAGGAGGGTAGGAGGAGGGGCCGCCCGCGGCGGGTGCGTTGTACTGCGAGGACTGTCCCATGCGCATGGGCACGGGAGGGCTGTGCTGCGCGGTAAAGGGCCGCCGGGCCGCCGGCAAGTCGGCGTCTGGACTTGTGCGGGACTGGTAACTGGGCGGCACTGCGTCGTATCTCATGGGCGGAGGAAACGACAGGTACGGATCTGACAAAGCTGTGCTGCTGCTACCGATGCTGCTACTGATGCCGCCATTCTGTGCAGAGTGGTTGGGACTTGCTTGGTTCCCGTACGCAGACCAGATGGAAAGCTGTCTCAGCGACGGCTCTGGCTCAACAGGCGGCGGGATAGGGGACCTTGTATGAGGATATGAGCCATAGTAGGTTTGCACGTGTCGAGGTGCCTCTCCCGATGCTGGGAGCTGTCGGGGCATGTCTTCGTCTAGTCGCAGTCTCTCCAGACCGGTTTCCCAGTCGTTGGCGTCCATCCCGTGATTGCGCGAAGGGAGTCCGTGCTGTATGCTCGTGACGCTATGATCGGAACTGTTGGGCGAGGCGGGAAATACAACGTGCGGCGTCGTGCCTGTCTGGGACGGCCGGTTTGCCCCTTCCCAGATGTTTCGGAGGTTCCGTCGTGGCGCAGCGCCGCCGTCGCCGGGTCCAGCAGGGATGGGCCGGGGCCGGGCATAGTGAGGGCTCGGCGTCAGACGGCCGTTTCGCGAATAGAGACCATCGGTGGGCGTCTGGGGCGTCGGGGTCGCATCGCCGCTCGAGTTGGGGTCTCCCACTCGCACGCCGCCATCCACGTTTTGGTCAAAATAGGACATGACTTGAACCGTGTTTCTTCTTTTTCGTCTTGCACTCGTCGTCGATTTTTTGGGGGGTTTTGAACGTGTACTTAAGGGCTACTGGTTGTCTCGTTTGGTGGAACTATTTCGAAAAGGGATATCAATGTTGGTGAGGAGCGTCAAGTAGAGAGATGCAAAGAGACAAGAGACAACCAAGGAGATTTGTAGTTGACGAGTAACACGAGAGGAAGAGCGAGAGCACAGAGGCTGCTGCCTACCACCGGCCAAGGCAACGGTTTCCAACTTCATGTGAATCGATGGTCGCGGACAAACTGACATGAGCTTTTGGTTGCGTGCCTAGAGTCAATGGCGTTTCCTAAAGCTTCGTTTTCAAAGAGCAAGTTTTGGCCTCGTATTAAAGAGTGAGAAAAACGGCGAAAGCCGCTGCCCTTTCACCTTTCGCTATTCTTCACGGGGCCCGTGAAAGAAGGTAAGAAGCTGTATCTTTTTATGCTGCTTCAGTATCGGCAGGCAAACCACCGTGATGAGTTGTTTACAAGTTTGAGTTGTCCCTTTGTGACCACCGTGAGTCTTGCAACTTTTTTTTTTTTTTTTTTTGCACCCTCGCTCTTTCTCAGTTCTCGTTTGCTACTGGGGGCATTAACTTTGCCCTGAAGACCACCCACCCGCGCGCCCGCAGCTCGCCCACAGGAAGCGGTAACACGGATAACTGCATGGGGGGCAGACCGACTTTGTTATTACACTGCTTCAGAGTAACCGTTTTGTATCCGTCCAGAGATCGGAGATGAAGAAACGGAAAGAGGGATTCATCTTAAGTTGGGAACCACAAGTCCACAACTGATCATCCTCTATCCTCTCGGCCGACGCTAGCATCGGCCAGGAACGGAATTCGTCCGCGCCTGAAGCCGGAAGGAAAGCCGGACATTTGGGCGAGACGGTGGGCGCGAATGGAGTCTGTGCAGAAAGCTGAGAACGAAGCTCGCTTCCAGGCTCCCGCCACGCCCCCCTGCTAGTTGCTGCCCCGGGCCCTCTCCGTGCACAACAAGGGAGGGACAGGGCAGCCCTATCACGCACCTCGCAGCCGATGCGCCGGCGTCGGTCCTGGGGCTGAGCTGCAGCCTGCAGGCAGCGAGACTACCAAGGCACGGGGAGGACTACTCTATAGAGGGTAAATAGCCCGGGTTGCGCCGAAGCGATGGACGGGGGGGCCAACCGTGGAAGCTTCCACGGAGATCGAAGGGAAAAGGCGACGACGCTAACTACTACTTCAACCCGCGCCAACGTCTCACAAGCACGGCTTGCTGCAGCACCAGAAAGCTTCTCTCGGCAGTCACAGGAGCCGATGCAGGCCTCCTCGTCGTAATAACCATATCCGGCTTGGGCGGAGAGCGCCCACGACTATCCAAGTCCATGTTTAGCTTAAGAATAGGCACCACGCGTCAATGAAGGCGGGATGGGCGGGGGAAGAGCAAGGGCCAGGGGGGGGGTACGGCAGCCTATAGGTGAGTTGTCGCCAAAACGTATTTTACATACTTATATCGGGGTTTACACACTAGGTATACGCTAAGAGTATACATAATTATTTTTAGTATATTAATATCTATATTTATATAATATAGAATATAATTTAAGGCTATATACACTATTTACTAGTAGAATTATATTTTATAAATCTATAACTCTTTTTATTATATTAATTACTATTATAAATATAATATTATTAGTTATTATAGCTTTTATAGTTTAGCTTAATAATATTAAAAAGTTAATAGTTTAGGTATTTATAAAGGTTAATATTCTTATAAATAAATAACTTAATATTATATATAAATAGTTTATACTTATATATTTATTTTAACTAAATTTAATACTAATATATAGTTATAAATAAGGCTAATTATTAAATCTATTATATATTTAGAATATTAAGATAATAATTATCTATATTTATAGTAAAGAATATAAGATAATTTATTTAAAGTATTAAAATTATAGTTATATCTTTATTAGCTATATCTAGCTTTAAAAGCTAGCTAAGAATATATATATAAATTATATATACTCCTTTTAAATATACTAATACTCTTTAAAAGGTATTATATAATATTACTTATATATATTATTAACTAATAATAGTTATAGTTAAATTATACTTTTTTATTATATAAAAGGATATATTAAATATAGTAAGTATATATAATATTATATAAGTATAATAATAATAAATTATTATAGTATTTATTAAATAGATAGGGATTTAAGTAAAATATAGCTAAATATATATTTAAGTATATTTATTAGTACTTTATTAAATATTATAGCTAGATATAAATAGTAATAGTTTATATATAAAAGAAAAAACTTTATATAACCTTTTTTCTTTAATTAATATTAATACTTATTATAATAAAGAAATACTACCTAAAGATAAGTATATAATATTAAGAGTTAGTATAGTAATATCTAGACTAGGATATATATCCTTATTATTACTTAATATTATATTTATCTATATAAGAATTACTACTACCTATAAAAGAAACTATTTAAAGGCTTTTTCTAAGTAATTATAATATTTTAAATATAAAGTTAATTATAATTAATAATAAAGACCTTATTATACTTAACTTAATAAATAATATAGATATACTTTTAACTTAAGTTATACTTTAAAGCTTTTTTATTAATAGTTAGGTTATAATATAAAGTATTATTTTAAATAGTATATAAGTAAGATAAGCTAATTCTATTATAACTTAGCTAAAAATAAATAATAAAGGTATTATATTTATACTTTAGCTATTTAATATTATAATTAAAAATAGATATATTAAGAATATTTTAATATTCTAAATAATATCTAGTCTAAACTATATTAGTAAATATATATTATAATAATATACTTATCTATAGTTTAAATATTAGTTATATAAAGATATACTATTATTAATTATATTAAATAGTATTAATCCTATATTATTAGTATTATTAGATAAAGAGTAGGAAGTTAAAGCTATAATTATCCTAGAATCCTCTTTAAGTATTATTAATTACTATACTAGTATTTAGTAAATAATAATAATTAAAAGGCTCTTAATAATACTTAAGTATAATTAATTAAATAAGAAGATTATAATTAATCTTTTAATAATATATCTAGATAATTAAAAGTAACTAATAATAAATTTATATATAGTAAAAAGGGTTTATACTAATTTATAAGTTTTATTTTATAAAATAAAGTTATTAATAAAGAAAGTAATAACTTAAAGGCTAAATATATTAGATTTAAAGCTTAATATTAAGTAAGAGATTATATAAGCTCCCTTTATTACTAGTAATTTACCTAGCTTAGTAAAGCTTATAGATAAGGTAGTTAGTAAGATAGAAAGTAATATTATTAGTATTATTATATAAGAGGATATACTAGTAATACTAAAGAATAAAAGGGTTTTTCTAATTTATATAAAGAAGTAAATATTAAAAGGATAAATATTATATATTATTATTTATTTTATATTTTATATTTTAAATATAGAAATAAGAAAAAAAGATAAAAATAAAGAAAATAAAAAAAGGGGGTTATTCCTTTATAATAAGCTTTTAGATTATATTAATAGTAATATCCTTATATAATAATAATTTATTAAGCCTTATATAAGTATTAATAACTAGCTCTAATAAGGCTAATCTAGAAAGAGTTCCTTTAGCTTAATACTAATTAAGTTACTTATATAAATATAAGTAAATAAGAAAAAGAGGTATTTCTAGATTACCTACTTCTAATAAATTACTAAACTTATACTAAATAATCCTATTATAGATCTAGTATATAACTTATAGTAAGTATATATTAATAATATTATTTAATATTTTAAAGATAAAGTTTAATACTTTTATATTATTAATAAATAGTAAGAATTTATAATTTAGTTTAATATTATAGCTAAGGTTATAATATAAAATATTTAGTTAACTAGTAATTTTACTTTCTTATATATATATATAATAGATATTCTATTTATATATAAAAGTATAAAAGTCTTCTTAAATTAATAGTATATATAAATAGAGAATAATAATCTTATTTATAAGATTATTAATAAAGAATAAGCTATAGTTATTAAGTATAAAGAAATATATCTAAATAGTTATATTAATATATATATTTATAGTTATTAATAATTACTTACTTATTAGTATTTAATAGGAATACTTAGGAAGTATTACTATTCTTTAATATATATATTATAAATACTTTAGCTATATAACTATACTTTTATAAATATAAGCTTTTAGGATATTCCTTATAGCTCTTAAAAGTATTATAACTTATTAGTATTATTATAAGTTTAATATTATACTAGTATATTATTTTAAAAGAGAAACTAGTATAGCTTAGTAATAATAGTAGTCTTACTACTATAATTAGATTATAATTAAGTAGGTATTATCTTTTATATATTTAATAGGGTAATATATTATTATATAATATTTTATAAAGTTATTATAGAAATACTAATATAGAACTAAGTAATATAATATAAATATATATTAATTCCTATATAAATCTTAAACCCCTATAGTTATAGCTTTTTATAGCTATTAATAGACTAAATCTAATTAGGATTATAGGTTTTAAAGTCTATATATAGTATTTCTACCTATTTTTAATAATCTTAAAGGTTTTTAGAGAATACCTTATAATAAACCTTATATAAAATATTATAATTAATATTAATACTAGCCTTATATATATATATTATAAAGAATATTTAGCTATTATTAATTATATACTACTTAGTAGTAAAATTATTCTAGAGATATACTTATACTTACTCTTATATAATATCTTAATATATAATATCTTATTATTAATATATATTTTACTAGTAGTAAATTAAGTTAACTTAAAATAGTAATAATTAGAAACCTTTATTAAGTAGTTATTTATAAATATTAAAGTTAGTAAGGTTTTAAGTAAAATATAATATTTAAATATATTTAGTAAGTTTATCTTAGTTATTTATTTATACTTATAAATAAATATAGTTAGTTTATAAAAAGTATTATAGTATTTAAGGGTAAATATTATAACTATAGTTATCTTATAGGATATTATAAATCTTTTAATATATAAGATATAAGTCTATATATTAAATAATAGCCTTTTTAAATAAATTAAGATTAATTATAGAATATAATATCTTAAATAAGATAATATATATATATAGGTATATATAAAAGGTTCTAAGAAGGAAAAAAAAATAGAAAAAGTATACTTATTTTAGAGTATTATATAAGTAATATAAATATTATTTATATATATACTATTTTATAATATTATATATATATATTATATATTTATCTTATAAAAAGAATTCTATAATATTCTATTCTAGACCTACTTATATATATAATATTATATAATCTTATATATATATATTATATATTTATCTTATAAAAAGAATTCTATAATATTATATTTTTAACCTACTTCTATATATACTATTATATAATATTATTAATATAGACTATAATAGCTATTATATATATACTATTATATAATATTATATATACTTATTATTAGAGTATTAAGTAAACTTAATATCTATTCCTATATTTTATATATATAGCTATAGGTATAATATTTATTCTTAATACTTAATATCTATCTATAGGTATTCTATATCCTCTAACCTTTATAAATACCTTAAAATATATATAAGTATATATAACTAATTAACTAAACCTTTTTTAAAATTTAATATAATAAAGGGCTATAATAGTATATATAAGTATATAAGGCTATATATACTTATATACTAGTACTACTACTAGTATTCTTATAGGTAACTATTAATATTAGTAAATAGATATTATATAATATTATATATAGTATTTATTATAATTATTAATAGCCTAAGTAACTAGCTAGAGTAGGTATATAAACTTATATATAGTTATAAGAGTTATATTAGTACTAGTAACTATACTTACTATATTACTCTTAATAATATATATATTAGTAGTAATATAAATATACTTCTTCTTAGTAAAGGGGGGGGTACTAGCTT